TTAAAATGAGTGTATGTGACATACTCATTTGCTTATACTTGATAAATGGGAGCGCTGGACTTTCATAGCCTACACAAACTTTCTGATTACCATTCCTGGCTGCATGATTTTGAGCCAGTCATCAAATCTCTCTGTGCCTTGGTTTCCTGATAAATATAATGGAACTGACAGGAAGTGTATACCTTAAAGGGGCAGGGTTAGAATTAAGCAAATGTACAGACTTGGGAGATCGGCATACAGTAAACTTTAAGAAAAAGATAACTATTATTATTATTATTACTGATAATGATATAACAGTATTAATTACATTCTATTCATTTAAAAATTTTGTGATTGGTACTATTTTTAATTTATAAATCAATTTGTCATAAAACATAACTTCACAACTGCTGTCAAAATTTATTTTCATTGCTGTGTATCATTTTCTTGAAATAATTCTGCCCTTAAATAAGTAGACATAATAAATATAAATAATACAAATATAAGTATAAAATAATATATATAAATAAGTAAATATATTCTTATGTCTATAAATATTTACTGTGTTTTAACTTTTAGTCCTGAAAAGTAATTGGAGGCAACTAAAAAAATGGACATTATAATTTTAGTTGGTCTCAATCATAGATATTGTGTAAGGATCTAAACCTTCTTACAGAATAATTAATAATTAGAAGGTAACAACATTTCTGTTAGAAGAGTGCTAGGTGCAGGTACAGGGTATAGTTATTTTATAAATATTTATAAATGACTTCCAGAATTTAGATTGGTAAATATATGGATTTTTTTGTCATTTTGAGACAGAGTCTCACTATACAGTTCAGGCTGGTCTTGAACTCACTTTGTAGAGTACAGGTGTGCACCACCACACCTGGCTTGTTTTGTTGTTTTATATTATAAGGTAATTGAATGTGATTTAGAAAATAAATGGCCACTAAAACATTTCTCTAAATGTATATTATACTTTTGAATACATTGCTAAGGTTTTTATCCCCTAAGTTTTGTCCCATTTTACATAATATGGTGTGAGATTCTAAATCTTAAAGAAATTCAATATATGTTTCTTTTAAACTTATAGCTATTCTTCTGTTTTTGAAAACACTACAGAAATCATCTGCTAGAATTTTGGGGGAAACAAATAATAATTGCCACATTTACCATTGACAATGCACACGATAGGCCAGAACATGCTTAGGACACATGGAATATATGCATGCATGCACTGCCAAGTGCTACCATGTTCAGAGGCTGATGTCTTTTTTTGTAGGGAACTGATGTTAAGGAAACGCAAAAAAGAGTGTAATTGTGCCCAACTTGAAAGGACAGCTAAATAAATGGAGGTGTATTCACCCCCCAAATCCTATGTAACTATTAATAATAATTTTTAAGAATATTTATTAACTTGGGAAATATTTATCATATGTAAGTGACACAAGCCATCAATAAATCAGTAGTATAACATTTTAGTTCAGTAAAATACCTGTCATGTAAGTTTGATCTTTTATGGCAGGCTAACTCTAGAAGAACATATAACATGTCATCATGCAACACAATGGTAAGTTCTAAGCAGCAGCATCATGGGTGAATTTAATGTGTGGATGGACTTTCACGTTTTTAAAAATTCTCATAATGAACATCAATTGCTGAAGATAAATTACTAGCATTAGTGATATCCAGCATTAGTGTATCCAGCTGGACACAACTCCACAAAATGATGATAGCTAAGATATCACTGTGTTGAATTAATATGAAGCCAAACTGCAAAACAACACCTCTCTGTAGAATTATCTTTACTCATTAATAAGATAATAAACATAGTGAGCATTAGAGACAGATATTGTGCAAAGCATATTATATACATGATTTTCTTATTCCTCACCATAGCCTTATTAAGTAGCAATGATTTTTATTCTCATTTTACAGATGATGAAACTGAGTTTAGGAAGCAAATGTGCCTTGTCCAAGGACGTTTTATTAATACATACAGCTGAGAGTACACTGTATCTAATTTTTCAATCTGTGATTTTAATAGCTATGTTGAAATTGTGAATTTATCTCCATACTTGATATTTCTTTTGCACACAGTGATCTAGGCCACAAAAAATTTTGGTCATAGCAATGTGTAGACATGCTCATACATGCAACATATTTAAGGACTTTAGAAGAATGCTCTGTTAGCAGAAACATCAGCATGAGACTGTTAAATACTCTTTTTTGGCTTTTGTTTGAATAAGCTGTATAAATGGCTAGAGAATTTCTAAAATCAAATAAACTTGTTCGAAGATCAAAGTACTACTGTTATGTGTGGCTTAACTTCTCCTATAAATTTAGGGCCAAATACCGTTTCCCCTTTGCCAGCATTGACCATGCATGGCTGTCTGTGTCTTGAATCCAAAACCTGAAGGCAATCCTATTTCTAGATCATTAAAGATAAAAATGAACTGGAAACACATGGAGATTTATGGTGAACAGCCTTGGTGCTTTCTCTGGCAAAGAACAAGAGAAACCATCATGGTTTTATGTTTCACAGTGTTTGTTGGCTTCTGGGGCCAAAACTCCTCCTGCAAGAGAGAAAAATGGCTTTTCTGGTCCAGCTGCCTCCCTGCCCTGCCGTAGTGGTACCTCATAGTGTGCCTGTGATGTGGAATAGGCACTAATCTTCATGGCGCTTCCTCAACCTCAGCATTATTGACATTTGAGTTGGATCATTCATTGTGGGGATGGTAGGTGGGCTGTGCTGAATGTTACAGGAGGTTAAGTAGCACTTCCCAAATTTGATGAGTTTGACAAATGCTTAGATTCTAAGTGTCTCCAGATGTCACAAAATGGTACCTGGGAGAAACTGCCCCAGTGGAGAACCATAGCTGATAATGTATTCACAAACCTGGCTTTCCATTCCCCTTTAAAAATAGCTTGACCTTCCTATGCAGAGAAACGGACAGCTGTGCCTGCCATGCGAGCTCGTCCCTCTGGCTGTGGTTGACTGGGTAAAGGTTGACATGTTAAGCCACGCTGAGCCAATGGCATTCCATCTTCTCAGAAAATGTATTTATGACACAGTAACTGAATCAAATATATCTGGGCCCTGAAGTTACACTATCATGCCAAGTGAGATCAGAGTCATACCATGGAGATAAAAGCCTTATACCTGTCTCCTATTCATAAGAACAAAGAAAAGTCTGTCCTATGAACAGAGAAAATGAGACGACAGCTGCCTAAAGAAATTTAAGTATCACATGAAGTTTGGCTGAATTTCCCATAATTGGTTCACTGGGATTTCTCTATTTTCTTAAAATAACTGCTACTTTATTTGCCTTAGTTTGAATGTCCTTCTCTTTCTAAACATCTTGGTTCAGAATGAAAATACATAACACAGCCAATCTAGAAAACCTCCTTCAGCAAGTGTGCTTCCCTTTGTAACCTAGGAGGGACACAAAGGTCCACTTGGCCTGCACTCTCAGGTCCTAAGTCCTGCTCGGGGGCCCTGCGAAAATAAGTCATTTCTCTGAGTCCTAATTTCCTCATTGAAAAACTGGAAGATCAAATCACACCCCCTTAGAAATTATGATAAAGATGGAGAAAGAGAATTTAACTCCTGTGAGCCATGAGCTAACTCACTTTTTGACATAGGTTCTGGGCAAGACTTGATAATAAAGTCCGTCATTCTCGGTTCAAGAGTTAGTTATCTATGACTTGCCAACCATTGGAGCAGAGGAACGCTATGTAACTCTTCTCAGCCTCAGGTTTCTTATGTGTGAAAGGGAGGGAGAGCATATCTCCTGGTGGAGGCCGGCCTTCGGTGTAACCCTCAGCGATACCTCCTGCTGATCATTGAGTGCGGGCACTCCATTCCTACACTAAATAGGGTGTGGCCAGGACCATGCAGTAGAAATCATGAAGTGTAACTTCTGAGGCTGGAAACACAGAGCATTTTCTTGTTTCTGTGTTGTTTTCTTGAACGACCCACTCTGAGGGAAGCCAGCCACCACATTTAAAGGATATCAAACTCCTACAAAGAGGTCCACACGGCAAAGAACACAGGCCACTTGTCAATATCCATGTGACCGTGCCTGCCTGAAATCATTGGCCAGCACCAGCCAGACCTTTGGGTTTTGATTGCAACTGTGTGAGAGATCCCAAGTCAGAGTGTCCCAGCTAAGCTAGAGTTTTTGATCCACAGAAACTGTGAGACAATATTTGCTGGTAAGTTTGGAGGTGATTTGCTATACAGATGTAGATAACGAATATAATGCCTTATAGGATTGTTTACAGGATTAGACAAAATCATGTATGAAAAGTATTCAGCACACAGCTTGGCCCATGCTGTACCCAAAGCACCCAGCGAGGTGCCTGCATTACAGGGAGAGCTCGTTAAATACCTTTCGGATGAATGTGAAGTAGTGTTCTCCTTACTATGACCATCATCATTCTATAGCGCTTCAATCTAAAATCACTTCCCAAGGAGACAGACCTTTAAATTTTTTTTGACTCAAAAAATTTCTTTCTTTCTAAAAAATGTTAAAAGAGAGATACTTAAAGTTAAAACGATCACATGTTTGAGTCCATTTTGTGCTGATATATGAGAATACCTGCAACTTGGTAACTTGCAATAAACAGAAACTTGTTGGCCTACAGCTCTAAGGACTGCCAAGTCCAAGATCAAGCAAGGCCTCAGCACCTACTGAGGACTTTCTGGCGGCATCAACCTGGGCCCACGGGTAAGATGCCAGGGAGGTGAACTCAGCTTCCATAAGGCATTGATCTCACTCATGAGGGTGAGTCCCTCATGGCTCAGTCACTTCCCAACACAGCCACCAGGAGACACTAATTCTAATGAGTTTTAGAGGGTTCATTCAGATCTACCACTCGAGACACAAGAATCTGAAGTCTCTACTGAAGGTTGCCATGGTTGGCCTTCCAGCCCTCTAGATGCACCTGAACCATGTTTAGTTTGAACAGAAAAACATCAGGTGCATCATGGTCACATAAAGCCAGCTACTCACCATCAACACAGGAAGGCCGGTTTCTGGTCGTTCCGGCGACTTTCCCAGGTAGACAGGAGCACTTCACTGTTTGTGACCGCTCCTCTATGCGATTCTTGTTACAACATCTGTGTGCCGCTATCACTTCACATGTCCCTCCTTCTGGCAAGACAGAAAGAACAGGGACACTGATTAGAAATAATGCCATGGGCAGTCAGGCCTCTGCAAGTATGTGTGGCGCTCTTGGGAAAAGTGATAGAGATGAGGCAAATAGTTCTCAGGAAGTATGATTCTGAAGGGGCTCCCTTGTGTAGGCATCATCTTGGAGAAGACAAACATTACTGTGTTATCCTTGCAAAGCAGCAGAGGACATCAAGAGACAGCCCAAAAGACGTGATGGCCCTGGGCAGAATGTACCCAGGAGCAAAACAGCAGGGTGTGCCTGCTACTGGAGCACCACGGAAAGAGACTACCTGATCTAAGCATGATATTTTGAGAGCTTTCACTTATGATGGCTTTGCCTTGAAGATTCTCTGAACTTCATTCAGGACCATGGATATCCCAGTGATTTAGACCCTGCAATGCCAATCAAAATGCCTAAAAACCAGTTCTCTTCCACTGTCTGTCTGCTGTCAACACAGCTGATCTGAAAATCTAGGCAGGAGTCATTTGCCAGATGCAAATCACACCCACAGATGAAAGAAAGAGCTATTAGAGAAAATGAGTGTGGGCTTTAAACGTTGTCTCCAATTGCGGGCCTGGGTGTATGACCTCGCGTAAGTGGTCATGGCTCCTTCACACGCTCACCAACACTAACTGGCATCCTGCAGTGTGTCCCATGCACGCGAGCTCCTGGGTCGGGGTCAAGGCTGATAAGCATTCGGGTAGGGATTTCTGATCTGAAGAAAATCTGCTTGGCCAGGTCTCTAGGGATGCAAAAGACAGCCTGGTGTGGCCAGAAACCAGACATGAACTTCCCAGGATCAAACTTTGAATTCAGAGAGAATGGTTTACATTTGACCAGAATGGGTCCATAACGTTTAGGATTCTTGGTATTTAGAGTCAGTTGGTAGAAACACAGTGAGCATGTGTTAAATGGCCACTATATGCAAGTTACTGAGTTAAAAACTGTAAAGGACATGTCTGCCTTTCATATGCACAGGGGTGCAGATGGAGAGTCAGGAAAATCTAGGGGGAAGGTAAGCGGGGAGGAAGAACAGAAGACTTAAGATGTAGCCTCATCCCTGAGAACTCGCAGTACAGCTCAGTGGTTCTCCATGCAGACAGAGCAGCTCTGATTTTGCTGTGTCTTCCCAACAATATTGCAAGTCTGGGATCAGTTTTTTATTGTCATCACTGGCGGCTCAGGGTGTCAGCTTGTGGGTAGAAAGCAAGGAACATGCCATAATGCTAAGAAAACCTTACCCAGCAAAGAAGGGTCTGGTTCAAAATGTTAAAGGCAAGACTCAAAAACTGGTCTCCTATAAAAGGAACATATCTGAGTCTGACTTTAGGTAGACTAATTCTGTCTCTCAATCTGATGGAAGAGTTTGGCTTTCAAACTGGCCTGGTTAGTTTGAGTCTCAGCTCCTTTAGTTACTGGGTGCCTTACTTTCCCCATCTGTAAAATGGGACTAATCATAGCACCTGTAGCATAGGGTGTGTGGGTATAAACCGAGGAACACATGTATAGGGGTTATACCAAGCCTGACACGTGATAAGGAGTCTCTATATGCTGCCTATGATAGCTATATAAGGTCACAGCAGGTATTTCTTTATGGATGCCACTCAGGAATTTGGCAAATATGATTTCTCCAAGAACACTCTCACCTGCCTCTAATTCCTCTGATGCCTTCAAAGTCTGGGTTTTGGTCAGCTTTCTTTAGTTTTCATCTTTTTCTGTTCTAGGATTTCCAACACACACACACACACACACACACACACACACACACACACACACACAGGTCCATTTACCTCCCCCTGAGCTCAGTGTAAAGGTCAGTTCCTTAGAGAATGTCCTTTTCCTTCTAACTTCTTTCATTCTACCAGCCCTGACATGTTTCCTTGTACTTAGCTGATCATGTCTATGCCCCCAGCCAAACTGTAAGCTTGCTCAGGGTCATGGTCACGGTCACGGCAGGTCTAACAGCCTTACTACCATCAACCACCACTGTAGGAGCTCCATAATGCTTGGCAGAATTACTAGATGAATTAACTGAAATAAATACTGCTAGGGAAGCACCAAGTGTTGTGGGCATATGTGGGATGGGAGACCCCTCCTTTCTGAAGAATCAGGATGTTTTTAGGTTAAGACTCAAAAGATGAGGCTTCAACAGATACTGAGAAAGGGAAGACATTTCATTATTGTGAGAGTCTGAAGCTTTTTAAAGAAAAACTTTTTTATTTTTGAATAATTTCAGAATTTCAGAAGATGTGTGAAGGTGATACTGAAAGTCCCCAAATTTGCCACACTATTATTTCCAATTTTTTCTCTTATCATTAAAATATTTAGTATGGTACATCTGTTTTAATTGAATTCATATTTATTCATTATTATGAGTTAAAATCTAGGCCTTGGTCACCTTTCTTTAGTTGTTATTGTTTTCTGGCTAAGATCTCATAAAGAATACCACACTACATTCAGTTCTCTTATCTTCTTAGGCTTCTTTTGGCTGAGGAACTCAAATAATCTTTGTTTTTATTTCCTTTTTGATGACCTTACAGTTTAGGGAAATACTGGTCAAGTACAGTGACTTCCAACTGGAATTTGTTTAAGTCTTTTTTCATGAATAGACTGAAGTTATGTAGTTTTGAAGGAAGACCATGGAGGATAAAATGCCATTTTCATCACATAATATCAAAGGCACGTACTATCAGTGAGGCTTATCCCTGTTGATGTTCATCTTGTTCACTTAGCTGGCACACTACTTGTTCACTTATAAAGTTACCTTTGTACTGTCATTTTCTACAGTGTACTCTCTGGAAGGAAGGTACCCTGTGCAGCTCAAATTTAGGGAGTGAGAAGTTATGCTGCACCTCTTCCGGACTGTAGTATCTCTTAAAATTATTTTGAGTTCTTCTGCATGAGGGATTTTTCTCTTCTTCATCTTTCCAGCTATTCAATCATTTATTAGTATCAGTATGAATGTGTGCCTATTTATTTTATACCTTATATTGTAATCCAGCAATAAATTAAGGTTGTTGTTCAGAAAGTTCCAGCAGGGACTGTTTTATGAGAGTCTTCATTTAGTTTCCACATCTCTTTCACACACTGTAATCATTGTCGGTTAGTTCTGTTTTAGTTTCAAGTACTTCTTTAATTTCTGACCTTTTAAGGTGCTCCATAATCATCTCATTATGCATTTCCTGGTCCTAACCAAGAGTCAGCCTTTCTTTATGAAGGTGATCAGTGAATTAAAAGATATACCAGAGCAGATGGAACTGAAGTTTCTTGCACATGTGACAAAGAATTAAACCGAAGAGGGCTTCCCTCCCCAGGGATAAAACTGGAGCCCTGAATAAGGATTTCAGAGTCAAAGACTGGTGTGACTTAAATCTTGCTAGGGGGCCACCACTCTGGCAGGTGTACATAGAAGGGTTTGGAGAATCACAAGGTAGCAAATAAGAAACAAATAGGCATTGCAAAACTCTGACCAGGAAGTAAGAAGGCTTGAACTTGGATTGTGGGAGGACACCTCATTATGTCCACTCACACAACACTGGCATTAGAGTTAATGGGACCCTCCTAATCATATATCACACTCTAACCCAGATGCCTGCAATCAGGTTTCTTTAGCTTTTTGCTGTCAGCTACAACTGCCTTCAGTCAAGTCAGTAATAGCTAGTTCTGTGCTTCATGAAAATACCACTAATTTTAAAGTCACCACTTGACTTTAATACAAGACTAGAGCAACCTTTATGATTGAAAATAGCACAAGACATGTGAAAGTTCCTATGATGTGTTTTGAATCTTATTAGATTTACAGTCAAGCCAGCAGACACAATGACGGATACCCCAGATCACCCTAGTTCTTGTAGTACACTAATGCATACGGGCCCCCGAATGGTCACTGGGGAACTGAAGCTTGTTCCTTCCAGCACACGCCACAAGAATATTTTTTGTGCTATTCTCAGAGTCTGTTTCCATTTACTGAGCTCTCATTTGGGAGCTGGGCACTATGCCTGGCACTTTACCTACATCAATTACAAATGTCCCAGCAACTGTAGAAGACATTGCTTTCCCTTGTAGATGGAAAGCAGAGGCTTAGAGACATTGACTAACTTGCCCAGTGTCACACAAATATAACTCTGCTCTATTAGGTTTGAAAACTCATGGTTTCTCATCTTGTCACAAGTAGTCATTCCGTGTTGGTGAAAAACTTATAAAAAGAAGTCTGGTGTGTTGCTTAGGAATGGTTACCAAAGCTAAGCATCCAAGTTGCCTCTTTTCCCACCAGAGTGTCTCCGACCTCATCTGCTTCCCCTTTCTTCTTCCTATTTCCTCCAGGGACACTGGTGACCTTGGTGGCTATTGTGTTAACCTGCCAGATACAATCCCTTCCTGGGGTTTTTGTGTTACCTGGGACACTCTGGCTTCAAGCAGACTTCTGGCTCACTTGCTTATAAATGTCATTTCATTACAGCCATAGTTGAACATTCTATCTAAATAAATCACCAGTTCCTTAGCTGACACTCAAGAGCTCCCTTACTTTAGTCTACATATACTCTCCCGGCCTCTTCAGAGCACTTAGCTCTTTAAAATGCAGCACATAATTTACTTATTTACTATACTTATTGTCTGTATGTTCCATATTGGAATGCAAACTCCTCAAGGACAGGAGGAGTTTTATGTAATTTCTGTGGTCTCATGTTTTAAACAATGTTTTCCATATTATCAGGGTTTTAAAAGGATTTTAATAGACATTTCACTTAATCTTCAATACCCTTCAAAGAGAGAGATAGGACTGTTTGTATCATCCACATTTTCTAGTAAGGGTGCACATTTAGAGCAAGTGCATAGCCACATAATCAATGCTGATAGTGGTAGTAACGGAGTTAAGGATTTATTACATTTTCCCATGGGCCTAACACCATTGTAGATATATTGCAAAACTTAAACTCATTTTACTCTACATTTTCTGAGTGCATGTTTACAGTACACA